TTAAGAAACAAGATGTAGCAGTAGAAATATGCGGAAGAAAGGTGAGCAACAAGAAGAGCAACAGCAACAACATAAGGTAAGCGCTTGAAATCCAAATTCAACGATTCATGTACTGAGATAACATTATTATTGAGATCAGGAACAGCTTCTTCCCCCATTTTTTATATTAATTAATAAACCAAATAATGTAATAATTAACCATGTGAAAACTAATAGCCGCTATACTTGAAAGTCAAACTAATGAGAAGGGGGGATAGGCTGACACCCAAGAAGGGAGATGAATTAGATGACACTTAAAAACTTTTAAAAACTTAAAAGAATGAAATGCATTAGTATGAAGGAAGAAGATGAAACACACAAGATTTATACTAGTTCAGCTCCAAACTTGATCTACGTCCAATCCTTAAGAACACACTTGAGATTTTCAACTAAATTCACAAGTTTCAATAAGTGCTTGCCACCACAATACAATTCGTATGACTTAACTTGTCTTGAATTAATTAGCAAACCTTGCTATAACCTAGCAAGTTGTTGCAAATATTTGAAAAAATACCTTTTTAAGATTTTTAATGTAGAAGATAAATTTTCATAGAAAACTCTTCTAAAGAGTAGATAAAATTACAATTGAAAGCTTACAAACTTATGAAAGCTTTTTCACAATTCTTTTCAAGAATAATGAATGAATACAAAATGTTAAAGCACAATTTGAAAGCTTTTTGGATGTTAAGATAAAGACAAGTTTGTTCAATAATCAATAGTTCTTATTTAGGCTTAAAATGAATCACATATATAGTTTTAGTAGTTGATAAACTATTAGGGCAGTGTTTCTATCCATTAGTGCTATTTCTTGTGAGTAACCTATTGATTCATGTGTGAAATTGCACTCAACTTGTTTCAGATATGTATATATGACAAATCACGTGTGAACCTCATGAACTCTCACGTGTGGTTCTACATGTGAGAATATGTACTCAATTTTGTGTGCTAAAACTTGAGAGTGAATCTTCAACTTTCACACGTGGTTTAACATATGTGAGATCATCATCAGTTCTATGTGAAAAATCTTGCATAAAACTACTATGCTCTCACATGTGAAACAGCTTATAAAAAGTGAAGCTCAAATTTGACTGACAAAACTCACATGGAACCTCTTTGCTCTCATGTGTGAAATGGCAAGCAAAATGCCAAAACTAATTCTTATGAACAAAACTCACATGAAAGTAGAAGGCTATCACATGTGAAATAACCATATCTAAATTTAGTCTATTCAATAAGACAAATCATGCGTGAATCTTATCCTTACTCACGCGTGAAACAGCAATCAGCAAGACACAAATAGTCTGGGCACATTTCATGTGTGGAAATGCAATGCACTCAAGCAAGAATATGCATGATCAAGAAATATGAGTATATGAATCACGAATCATACATTTGAACAAAGTGGACTCAACTTGAGATGATTTAAGAGTCAATATAGCAATATGTAATTGTGTGACAAGTAACAAATCCTATGTGACTACCATCAGTCCTCACGTGTGAAATAGCCTTTGACACAATATAATAAAGAATAGTTGCTAAAACTTGCATGGATAACAATGCCTCTCACGCATGATTTTGCATACAGAAACAAGGCTTAAAACATCACATACCAAAAATAACAAATCACACGCGAATCACTTCCTAATTCTTGCGTGTTTCATCAGTCATTGTGCCCAACCTACAGATTCTCGTGAGTGACCAAGTAGAATCACGCGCAATTCTGCAGCTCACATAGAATTCATCAATAATGATTTTTAACATGCCAAAAAGATATCACTTACAAGCTTTAATATACTTAGATGAGTCTTAATGCATATATATGAGACACTTGATGCATTCATTTTAATGATTATAAAAAGTGATTAAACTCTCAAAGTTTTCACATTGAATCTAAAAGAATTTAAATGACTCATCCTAAATTTCTTCATCTTCTCTTGATTTTTTTTGCTTTTGAAGTTTTGTCTTTATCCATGATTCTTTATATCTGCATACATAATAAATACCTTTTCTCTTGATTTTATAATCATCAAAACATATGATCTAACATTTATATGTTCTCTTTGAATTCTTTTCGTCGTCTTCTCAACCTTTTTTTTTTTGCAGTGAAGCAAAAAATCATTCCAAACTCTTCTACGAGGTCCAAAGATTCTAAACTTCTACATTTTTTAAGATAAAAGTTAAAATAGCAGTGTGGGTGGGTGTGAAAAGTTGATTCTCGGTTTTCATAATTTCGTGATCATAATTTAAAATGTTATGGTTGGATCTTTATAGTACAATACAATTTTTAATTTATTCTTTGATATTATCTTTTTACTAATGTGTGTTTTTTGTCTCTAATTACCTATACTTATGTCATATTTTTTGTTATAAATCATCTACATTTAGAATATTACAATAATTTAGCTCAACCCCATGAATAATGGGTAATTATATCCAAAAATAATATTAAAATAATTTAGAATATTGCAGCAATATTTAATTAATTTTGCCAATGAAATTCAACAGCTATTCTTTAATTCTTTTGAGCTTAAGGGGAATAGTGTACTAGGCCCAATTCAAGAAAACAAAGCCCAGTGTCAATTTCCTTTTTAACGTTTCCAAAGGCCGGATTTGTTGAACCAGGCCAAGAACCTTAATTTATCTAGGGCTTCAAATTTCAAAATATAAAGCCCATTAAAGTTGTTTGACTTTGTTGGGCTTAACTCGGCAAAAAGAGCCCAACTTACAAATCTCTTTTGGGCTTTTTAATATTGAAAGGTTCAAAGTTCTGTTCTATAATTTCAACTTGGGCTTTCTCTATGACTTATACTTGCTTATTGTTTGATTTCTTTCCTTAACTTTTCTTCTAATAAGCTGGAAAGCTAGCTTAATATTGGGATTCTAATTTATACTATGACTAATTTTTATCCTAATTATTTATATAGCATATTTTAAACCTTTCTTCAAGTCATACTTGCCTTATCACATAACACTACATTCGGTTTAAATATACTATATGAGTGCATAAGAACTTATCTTTCTCTTTGTTTTGCTCCTTTTACTTCCTTTATTTTTTTCTTTCTATTAGTATTAGGCTAGTTAGTAATTCAACTCTTGAAGAAAAGTCTTAAGTGAACCTTCTATAATACTCTTTTTGGATCATAATATAAATCATAGTTAACTAATTTATAATTTACGAATAATATTAGTTAAAATCTTAAATTTATAAAAACATACACATCTTTCTCTTATTAAATACTCTATGTAAAAGTCTAGATAATAGTAATTCAAATTCCAATGTATAAGTTTTTCAAAAAAAGTAATAAATAAAATAGGAATATAGTTAAAAAAATAAATATAAAAGCTATCCAATATTTTATATTTTGAACCAAGTAAAATTTTTAAAAGATATATTATATTATAGTATGGAGGAATAGTCCACTAAACTTATGTTACCTATCCTCTAAAATCATCCCAAGTCATAATTTCCTAAAGAACTACTAATGCCTTGTAACTCAACAACTCTACTAAGTCTACAATGATCATGATATCATCTATAATCCTTTTTTAATCTTGTTGGGATATTTTGCATTTCATGGAATATTATCCATTTCTGGGAGACTTTTGGACTTGAGGGCAAAAAATTGTAAACTAAAAGCACCTTTGCATGATATGGCGGTTATATTGTTCCTAAAACTGATCTTAGATTCCCTGATGCTTTTCTTGGCTTCTCATAAACTTTCATGTTCTGTTCTGAATCTCTTCTTGGCATTGTCTGGCGCTAGAACACTCTCAAGAATCTCTTCTTTACCTAACAAAATACTCGCTATGTCCTTACATATAAAAAGTTTTTTAAAATTTTTTTATTTTTAAATATAAGAGGTTATTGATATATTTTTTAATAAATAGATCATTATATCTTTATTAAATTAAAAAAATAAAAAGATAAGTATTTTTATTAATTTACTTTGAAAAAAGAAATTTATTTTTTATTTACAATAATTAAGGTCAAAATTAAAATGTTATTATATTTTTAATTAAATAATTAATTTTTATTAATTTATATAATTCAGTTAAAAATATTTTATATATAAAGATGGAGGAAGTATTCTAATGTCGTGCCAGAATTTTTAAAGACTACACATTGACCCACAGCTCCAGACCTAGACACTTTTCATATTTTCCCAATTCAGTCTAGATTGATATTCACTTCAGAAACATTTTAGAATTAATTTTCGTGAATAGTAATTTTAGGGGCTTCATTAATGCGTCTGCATTCGGCCAGCAACCTAATCTTCTATGTCGGTGTAAATAAATATTTTCCATTTACTTAAATTAATTTTTAAATATTTTAATATTATATTTATTAATATAAAAAATATAAAAAATTTAATATTAAATATAAATTATTTAACGTACATTTAAATGATTAATTTATTAAATTTATAAATTTTAATATTAAATTAAGTTATTTAAATAATATCTAAGAGAGTATTTAGTTAATCAAATTGTAAAATTATAAATTTTTTAATATTAAATTAAATTACTAGATTAAATGTAAGGACCATATTAATAATGAACAAATTTATTAAAATTTTTAAAATTTTTTATATTAATAAATATAATATTAAAAATATTTAAAAACTAATTGAATGATAAAAATTAATTTTAATTGAAACACAGGTCCGACATAAATACTCTAGTGATGAGCATTGCAATGCAAACGGCTTCAGTAACTCCACAGCGTTCGAACTTTTAACTATTTGCCCTTAAAGATTTCACTATTCATCTGGGAACTTAACTGACTTTCATATATAGAAATTTTACCGATCTTTTCTTTAACAATTTCACAAGCCGCGTGCCTGCACAGACGCACCCGCAGCCCGCACACACGAAAGAACGTTCTAAATATATACTCCCATTAAATACAAGAGAATTTCAATCAACTTATACAGTTTAAAAAAATTAGTTAATCCTCATAATTATTTCTGAACTTGAAGTATTTAGATTAAAATCCAGAACTCCCATGAATACATGTGGATGCATATGCAGATCATGAAATAAGCGATGACTTAGTTATAGGCATACATTAGTTCATCAGACTGACGGATTTCTAGAAATGGTCAAAACCAAGATGTACAAACTGAATATTTAAAAAACAGACCCAACATATTAAAATAGATGAATTAAATACAGCGTACTACTACAGAAAGAATGAAAAAATCTTCCAGACGATGAACTATCGTAAAGATGTTACTCGGACAGAATTATCAGCCGATCCTGTCAAGAAAATGGGCAAGCTCGGATGCCAATCAACAGTCGTAACAGAGGCAGCATGAGCAAGTGTTCTCCACCCATTTTGACGACCTTGAACCTGAGACAGCACAGTGAGACACGAAAGAGTGAAATCATCATACCTAAAAATCTAGCACAGGGCAAGGAACGAATAGAGGTAGTGGATATTTATCACTTCTCAACTTTTTTGATTGCTCACAACTCACAAGTGCCTTATTGGAGATAATTCTGTTCATGGTACAATCAAGCATTTCATGTGAACATCTATTCTAGTGAGAATTCAACATTGGTTTATCACATTGTGAAAGACTAGTTTTTCCACTAGACCTAGCTAGGGCTGGAAGTGTGGACCAATAGGGGCCTTCTAGCCAATTTACTTCAGGCCAAACCAGGTTTAGACTTTTGATTAGGCTTATTTAGAAAAATAGTTCAGGCCTATTTTTATAATGCCCAGCCTACAACCCTTAAAAGGCAAGCTATTCACATATATATTATTACATAATGATAAAAGAAATAAAATGGCTTTTCTTTTTTGTTTGAAACTGGTTTTTTCTTTAAAAGATTCATACCCTTCTGCCACCTTTAGAGAGAGTATTTTCTTTATTGATCCAAAAATATAGAACCATTCAAGGAACCATTTTAGAAAAGCATTCAAACAATCCCGATCAAACCAGAAAAACCAGGAATGTTCATAATTTTTGTAGTACAAAACATTGTACCATGCTTCTTTATAATCAAAATAATTATAAACTAGATCATGATAATTTATTGGGAGAATCTTGGATGTATAAGGTGAATAACCCCCAAGTAGTTGGAGTTAATGCCTTACGAATTTTTATTTGGCTGTAACATCCTCCTTGCTTTCCTTGGCAATTAATCGTGATGGAATTTTAATTCCCTAAGATTAATTCATAATATCTTAAGTCTTTTTTCATATTGATTGGAATATAATTCCAAATGCATTCCTTTTGATGAGGAGGAAATATTGCCTGTATGGTATGGGATATATTCTCTCTTTGAAATTCTGGCTCTATTACACATGCTGTCATCACATATTCTTTAGGAAAGCATGGGCTTGGTCCTGATTTAGAGGTTTCTATCGGGTCTTTGTTCGTTTGGATATTGACAACTTGTTGATATGTCTGTGATGGCTCAAGAAATTGAGAAATATAATCCTCTATCCTCAAGGGTTGGTTTTTTTGGCTTTTGAGGAGTAGATGACTGTAATGGCTGCATGGCTTTTGCCTTTCCTTTGCCTTTTGAGGTTATGACTTTACTCATTTTTAAAAAATTTTCACTATAAAAATTCTTTTGTTAGGAAATCCATAAGAGAATTATTTGTTCCCTTTATAAACTATACGTTGAAATCAAAACAAGATAAAATTGCTTGCCATCTAATGAAAACATGCTTTGAAGCTAAATTTTTAATGTCTTTCTGTAAAACATCTTTTGCTGCTTTACAATCCATCTTTATCAAATCATCTTGAAATTTAGAAATACACAAGACAATATATAGATAAGATTTCTTTTTTAATAGTGGAATATTTTTGCTAAGCTTTTGTCCATACTCTTAAGTGGAATCTGACTATTTCTTCCTTTTCTCCATCTAATTGTTTTTATTTAATTTAGAAACTTGGATATAATCAACTCCACCCCCTTTCTTCAACTTTTTCTCGTTCTTCTATATCAAAACTTAAAAGCACTAGACGGTTCTTTGCTTATGTTCTTTTTTATTATCTTTGGTATGCTGAATTTATAATATATAGTTTTGACCATTTGCTTTTTAATCAATATGTTCTTTTTCATTTCTAGTTTGTTGGTTATGTTTTCAGTTAGATTCGACCATGCATGTATTAATTTCAATGTTGTTATACATTGTAGTTGATAAGTCTTCTTGCTTATTATGTATTTTACTTGGTAAATCAGGTTGTACATATATAAGCTTTAATAATCCTAAAACTTATGAGATTTTTGAAGCTTATTATGTAAGCTTATTTAAAAAGCCTACTTTTAAGAAGGCTTTAAAATATACTTTTAGGCTTGAGCAAACTTTAGGAAGGCTCAAACCTAAGTCGTGAAAAAAGCATTATATAAGCTTCAAACTAAGTTCAAGCTTCTGACCTACCACACAGACTTAAGTCTATTTGGTCAAAACCTACCTCGATCCCATCTATTTCCACCAATAAACCCAACCCTCATTGGTTATCACTTCTTAATTGAGTCATTTGCAAACACCACCCTAAACTATGAAAACTAGAAAACATCCCCCCACAAACATCACTACTGAGAATTTAAACACCCTATTTTCACAAAGGATTAAAGAAAGATGGAGAAAGACAAAAAAAAAAAAAAACACTTATGAAAGTTGTTGAATGAGACCTCTCAGTTCACAATATTCCCAAAAGCATGGCCGATAATAATGCATATAACCGACCCTATCTAATGGAATAAGGCTTATTGTTATTGTTGTTGTTTGACAAAGGCTCCACTTGATTCATTCGTGCATGACAAACTAGAAATTAAAGCTTGGTTTGGATAGAGAGAAAAGTGGGAATGCAATAGGGAAGGGGAAAAAATAGGAAGAAAAATTTCCAAAAATAGTACATTTTTTCACTATTTTTGGGAGTTTTCCCTTATAGCTTTCCTTACTCACTATTTTCCTCCCCATCCAAGCAAAGGGTAAGTGACATCTTCGTTAAAATTATACGGATGTTTTCTATCTTTCATAGTTTTGGCAAAAGGCTCAAATTAAAGGGATTGTTTGCTTAAAGAAAGGGAGTGTTTGCATTTTTCCCAGTAAGCAATCACAAGCTCCCTGGTAAGTAACCATAAGCTTTCAATCCATCATCTGAAGACCAGTGATGCAAGTCAAACCAATATGACAACCAGCAAATTCTAATTCCTTTTCCAGAGAGTAAATGCATTATTATCAATGAACTTGACTTGGTATTGAAAAGGAGGCGAGGGTATAAATTTGAACCTCATATATTGGTGCTCTCACTGAACCTGACGTTACTAAGAGTCTCCTCCCACTACCATCCAAAGCCATCTCATGTCTGCAATATTTTAGATCTCCTGGGTATCGCAGCCTGCAAAAAATTAGTAAAAAATCCTGTTAGTGGAAAACTCTTTTGAACATGTCCAAACGTAGGAGAAGGGAAATAGGGGACCCAAATTTATGACAACAAAATGCACTGTTGTTCCGCACAAATATCACATGTAGTACGACTTCTACTGCTGACTAGAAGTCAGATTAGCCTAATATTTTAGCCAGTGAAAGTATCCACCCATAATTAAATCAGCTCAGCCACCAGAAAAGAAAGATTGCTATTAAAAATCCTGCCTCATACAAGATAAGAATAACCAAATTTACAGCTTCCATTAAGGCAAAGGTTCCCTTGCACCCGAACACTTAATATATGAATGGTGGTGCAATCATCCTTCTTGCACGAGCACTGCTCTGAGAAGTATCAGCGTTCAGACATGCGTCTCGTTCATGTGCCTAAATTAGCTATATTTGGCACCTTGGCAAGTAGATGAATTGATCTATCCAATATTAATACAACTCCATGCCTTCTTTAAAATAAAGAAATAATAATGATTATAAGTCTATAAAAAATTATCAAAATGAAAACTTACCTATTACAGCTTCTTGACCACATGATTTGTCCTTGATTTTGCAAACTCCATTCAAATATCTAAACCCAAAAAAAAAAATAAAAAATCCTGTCAATTAAATTGATAAGATCATTTAACATGTAGGAGTGATAAGCATCACACCATCATTATTTTCAGGCCAAAAGTTAAATTAATAATACTTGCCTTCCCGTCAGAGCCTAAGCTGAAAATGCTAGTCTCATCAGGTCCAAAAAGTATTGAACTGATAGAAGAATCATGCGCAGGCCAGCCAGTGATTTGTAGACCACACGACATGTCTTTAGCCAGTTTAAGGACATGAATGTTAAACCAAACAAACTCTTCTAGAACAAATTTTTGCATCATTTGACATCACTAAACAACCCCCCCCCAAAAAAAAAAAATTCCTTTGCAAGTATGGAACCTCCAAAAAGCACATCAAATCCAACAGATTAGCACTTACAGGGAAAGATATATTATCCCAAGTACGAGAAACGTAACAGATTTCACTTTATAGGTGAATCACAAATTACATTAATGCCAGAAAGTAATAAAAATAAATAAATTAAGGATACCAAACATGTGAATCATTCCATCAATGGCAGAAGCTGCTAAAATCTTCCCATTGTGATTAAAGCATAGAGAAGTAATTGCTGGTGGATCTTCTCCGAGGGGAAGAACTGTCTTCATGAATTAAAAAAATATATATGACCTAAACAACACAACTTAAAAATATAAATATGAACAACATAAAAAGGAGCTCATACCATGGCTTTCCATGTCTTCATGTTCCACACAGTCAGTGAAGCAAAGCCAAGATTATCCAAGTTGTTAGAACCCACACTACAAAGGCAAGACCAACACATGATTAATCGTTAAAATGTGAAATATCTTTCACCAACAAAATGTTAAATATTTAGAAACATGAAAAACAGGAAGGTTAAACATTGAAGTTTTTTAACAGGCACAATTCCATGGGAGGTGAAACACCACGGCCTGCAAATATAAATAAAATAACATACACAACATCATAGGGAAACACACAAGTGTAAAAACAGAGAATTCAACAACCACATTCAGTCAGTTTAAAAATTCAAAGGATCTAAAGATTCAAAAATTAAATCAGTACCTTCCAGATGCTGCTGCAGACACAAAAATTGGTTCTACAGGGCTGCATTTCACATCTAATACACTGCAACCACATATAATACTTTAATGGCTTTAACAAACAAAACAAAAGGAAAAAAGAGACTGCAAAGTACATTATTGGGTTAGGAAACACCTAGGAAATGTTTCAGTTGTGTTGAGGTCACAAACAACTCTCTTTGCATCCACATTCCAAGCCTTAACGCACCCATCTGATGTGCCTATCAGAAGCTTTTAAAAAAAAAAAATTCAAGTGAATTGATCTTATGATACAAGCTATACTATGAAATAACATGTGACGCCATGTGAAACCAATTCACGTACCAAGCGATCTGACTTACACTCCCAGTCAAGAGACAAGATTTCTGTGCCACAGTAAATGGTTGCATTTCTAGATACTGGAGTTGATGAGTCATATGTCCATATCCTTTATAAATAATACAGCAGAGCAAGATAAGTTTTCATGAGAAAGTGGATTGCACCTATATTAGGAAAAGCTGTAGACCAATCTCTGGGATACTTGGTGAGAGACAAACGAAACACAGAAAAAGAAGTGATGTTTGATAAACATGCGATAAAATCAACTGAGCATTTCTCAGCTTCAACTTTCATTCATAGCAACATAGGATACATATAGAGAGATATATCTAGGGTTTGTTACAATCAAACAGAATCTGGAATTTAAATTATAGATATAAGATCACATCAAATCTGATTCTAATCTCCCACATTAAATAAAGGATAAATATAGAAAATATTAACTAATAAAAACAGATAAAATGAAACCCATATAAAATGGGCCTTGGGCCATCAGCGCCCTCTACCAACATTCAGTGGTCCTGAAAACAAATTATGTATGCAAGCAAATCAAGCATTTTTTTTTCTTACAAGATATCAAGACTAGCATTTAACCAACACCATTTATTTTTTCCCATCATAATCCTAAGATGAATATATGTTAAATGCCTTGCAAGAAAATACCTGACAGTTCCATCCAGGGATGCACTGGCAATATTGTTCCCAGATGCAGAAAAGCGGCATCGGCTTATGGGACTTGTGTGCCCCAAGAATGTTTCCTAGAAGCCACAGTAAATTAATAGTTACAGACTCCAATAAAATTATGTATGATCAGGAAATATAGATGGTAAGAAGATGACTCAGTAAGAAGGAGAAGCAAATCAACAGTAAAATAAGAATACAAAACTTCAGACCTGAGATATGACTCCAACCCCAAATTTACCTGGTGCTCTACTTTGACTTCTGGAAAATCTTCTTCCACATAACTGTCTTCACCGTTCTCTGCTACAAGATTAACCATATGATAAATAATTTATCAGATTTTTCTTTGATTCCTATCTCAACCAATACATAATTTATGCAGTAACAATTAGGTGGGATTTCAAGTGTAGATAAAGTTTATCAAGACTGGGTGTTGGGTGCAAATGGTACAGAGGCCTACATATATTTTTAATATCAAATCCGCAAAAGAAGGAAATAATTAATTGCTTCCTTACATCAACTATCAGAAACTTTTGTTTATGTATGCATATAAATAAAACTGTACAACAAGTCTTATGCCACTAGATGGGGTTGGCTACATATACATATAACTATAAACATATATATTCATTTCAATATGAATTTTGAAGCTGGCTTAATTTGATATTCAGCAACAACTTCTCTGAATTTACAGAGATCCAATACTATCCATACTTGACTTCATACTCCAATGCCACTTATTCTTAAAAATGACATCCCTTGCCTTCTGGATTTTAGACATATCCATACATCCAGGAAATTATGACAGCAGTCATCAACTTGTATAAAAGATTATGACAAAACAACAACTTCATGGAAGTTCATGATGAAGCGGTGGTCTTAGAGCATCTGTCTACCTATTTGGGCACTGTCATCAACTATTTGACTGGTATCACCTGTTTTGCCATTTTCCAAAAGGTCACCCAATTGCAAAGTTGAAACATCATAATTGGAGCTGATACATTCTGAATCATTTTTACTAGGCCCAGCAACAACAGATTCCTGGCTAAATTCTGTTTCACCTATTTGTGGATTAATTGTCGTGCAAACTTCTGGAGTATCTTTCAATGTGTAAATACCTTCTTCACGCAAGATACTTGATGAATCATTACTTCCTTCCATACTGCAACCAAAGTTCAAACAGGACTAAATTTAATTACATTTGGAGTTCCAAGAATTGAATAAAAAATCCTTACCTCCTAAGCTGACTTAATTGTGCCTCTTTCTCCTCAAGTAAAGCCTGGAGTTGGGACAACTTAAGATTCAGTTGTCTGATCTCTCTTTTGAGAATGTTGGTAGTATTTGTATCTGAACTAATCTTCAGTAAAGCAGGTAGACGTGATTTTGTTAAGAATATTTTCAGAAACTAAGAAGTATTGTTCAAATAAATTAATTTTGAGTAAATTATTACTCTTGTCCCTGATAGATGACTAACTTCTAAGTTGGATCATCCAAAGCATATTTCTCTCAGTTTAATCCCTTGGTAGCTTTACTCCAATCATTTTCATACCATTGAAGGATCAAAATGAGAAATTGATTCTCATGACACAGGTTGAGAGATGAAAATAATCAGGGAAACATAATTGTAGGACTAACTTGAGAGGTTAATACTTTGGACAAAAATAAAAAGAACACTACCTATTGGCTATTAGAGGCAAATGAAACCGCTTATGCATTTCTTCTCTTTTCTTGTGACATTTTTTCTGTTTGTTTGCAACATTATAATGGACATCCACTAAGTGCAAGCCCATAGTCACACTATTCAAAATCAAGTTTACAAAAAGATAAAAGTATTCAATATGAATTCTTAAGTTTGATAATGCACTAACACTACGATCAATGTCCGAGCCAAGTATCTAGCAGAACAAAAGAACACCTCTGGGTGTGCACTTTTTTTCCCAAGGGAATTGATTTTATTTTTTCCCTTAAAATCAAAGTAACCTTCCAGTCCTGGGAAGTCTCAGAACCAAATCTTAGGGCCTTAGAATCAAAACTAGACATGCATCATGCCCAATAAGAGTTTGATTGACCACAGCCACCTTGACCATAAGTTTTATGGATTCAGGATTGATTGACAGAACTGAAAATTTTGTTATTCAGGATTGATTGACAGAACTGAAAATTTTGTTTTACTTTTGAATGTATATTTGTATCTGAAACATAAAGAGACCGGAAATAAAAGAACAAAATATCAAATTTAGAGAAGGGGAAAAAAGAAAAGGGACAGATAAAAATATTTTTCAAAGGATATGACTGCCATTGAAGATCTCACAAAAGAAGTTTCGTACAGCAAGATGCATGGCCTCAAACCATTCCTTGGAGAAATAAATGTGAAACTCTGGATCCAAGTGGGGATTCTTGATATATGGAATTGCTGCATTACAGCCACTCAGCATCATAAGTTCATACTGATAGTTCATTAGAGTACAACAGAAGTATAAGAAAACGCACCAAACCATGGAATCCAATCATGTGACCTTTCCAGCAATTCATTGCCTCTCACTGCAAAAAAATCTACCACTCTGTCTCTTCTTCCCATTTGCAATGCATGGACTATGTAATACCGTAAAATTGAAGCCTCCAATTTAGATAAGGTAGCAATTAGCACTGCTTCAGACGATGATGAGAGATACTGTTTGAAGAAACTGAGCAGACCAACTAACTTTTCGGCTTGAAATTTAGGAATATATACAGAGAAGATTAGGTCCAAGATCTTATCTACTTCAAAACCTTTACCAACATCAGTCCGCAGTTCGCTTTCATAAGTTTGAAGTGCATTTGTAAATCCTCTGAAAATGAGGAACTCTCTGACAAGCTCCTCAGCATACTGCATGTTCTCCATCCTGTCCTTCCAGGCCTACAATGATGAATAATAACACCTGAATCTTCAAGAATTTCACAAGCCAAATAAAATTTCTTGGCAATTGAAAAAACAAACAAATCAATGCATTTACCAGTCCAAGAAATACTTACATGAGAATCCATAGGCGGGCCTATATCACACTCAGTGGGGGCATCTTCCCCCACTGAAATCTTCAAATTATGAATAGTTGATACATTATCCTTCAAATTTTTGTTCCAAATACTTTGACAAAGAGACCTTAGTGAGCCAATTGATTCAGGCAACCCCTCCAAGCAACTGAAGAATGACAATTTAAACTCAAGCTTCTAAATTGTTAGACACAAATAGAGCTAACTCTGCCGTTTACAAAACCTTGGGAATTTTCTTAAATCGATGATAATATAAAGAGACTAACAAATAGAATGCCAATACACAACAAATCCAACATTGCACAACAAACAATCCAAATCATATATGTCGCTAGTAATCAAATGAAGAGGGCAGAAGTATAATAGCTGATTAAACACCATTCAGCAAAAACTGGTAATAAAACTTAAAAAAAAAATAGTAAACTCAATCTTTATTCAAAAGCGTCAATATTCAAACGATTACAAGACCAGACTCAAAGCCAAATTAAAATGAAAAATTTAAAACAAAGTAAGAAACAGTGCAACGATGCCCGACACAGGGTTGACAACACCGCAGGAACAGACGCGGGGAATAAATTCAAACATAGATTCAAAGCCAGAGTGAATAAATGAATCTCACCAGATTTTGGCAGTAGAAAAAACCCTAGGGTTTGAACCTTCTTCAATACTTGACCGAGAACAACGACGCAGGGCTGACACGTCGTCCGACGGCGAGCTCGACCGAGTGTGTAATGCTTTTTCTGTGGACGAAGAAAAATGGACTCCTACTCCTTAACAGCTACCAGCTCCCAGCTACCAGACAAGTGGGAAGAGGAGATTCGGCCTGTTTTGGTACAATGGAAGTCTTTTTCGATGAAATTCGGAATTGGAATAGAAAATGGAACCAGAACCAGAATCAGAATCAGAATTGAAATAAAACTACGTTGCAGAATGTTTGGTATGGTATTGAATCTCCCTTCCTTTGTCGGCTTGGCCATGCAATTACTTTCTTAATTTTTTTTATATATTAAAATTGCCTTCGCAAATTAATTTTTAAAAATTTAAATTTAAATTTAAATTTAAGTTATAATTTATGTTTTAACTTTTTTAAAAGTTAAATTTAAATTTTAAAATTTAATTTTTTTAAAAAAATTTTATGATATTATGTTAATATTTTTTATCTACAATGTTAAAAAATTAGCTATTCCTTCCATTAAAAAATATAATCATTACTTTTTAGGAGTTAAATGTTAAAAAATGTAAGACATTTTTATTAAATAGATTATTTTATTTTTTTAAAATATTTAATTAGAGTAAATATAAAAATATAAGATTGGTTGAAAGATAATTAACTAATTTATTAAGGGGTGAGATTTAGTTAAAAGGATTATTTTTATTTTGATACATTTACAAGGATGGAAATTCACCCCAACTAATTGCTCAAAAATTTATATCACTTCCCTCAATTTTAATTGATTCTAAAATAGTTTATAAAAAATAAAATGTTAATCATATTTTTAGCATATACGAGTATATTCTAAAATAACTTGTGTGAAAATAAAACCAATTGTTATTTCTATTTTTAATTTTAATATGTAATGAATAACAAATTTTAAAGTTAAAAAAAATATACTCCCTCTAATTCTTATTATAGAATACTTTTAATCATTTCATGTATTTTAAGAAAAGTTAATTTTTTTAGTATCATAATAAAGTGAGAAGTACTTTTATTTTTATCCTTAACTTTAAATAATAATATAATTATATTAAATATCTTTATGCTAATCAATAAGGGGTAAAATTAAAAAAATAAATTAATTATTACAACATGTCTTATCTTTTGAACTAAAAATTACTTTTAAAATATGTTTTATAAATAGGATCAGATGAAGTATGTCTTAACATTTTTCATTTGCATGGGTCCAATATATAGATTAAAATAAATTATTGTAAATATCTGAGGATAACTGAATAACAAATTCTAAAATAACAATTGTTTATACTTTTTTCAAACAGCATTTTTATTTATATATTGTAATAAATAATAAAAACTTCTCATATTGTAGTTGGAATAAAAATACAGTTAATAGCATTCACTAAAGAAATTTAAAAATATAGTTATTTTCACTATGTTAAAATAATGTGCAATATATTAATATTTATTTAATATTAATTTGTATTAAAAAAATCCCATGTAGCATGAGTGTATTGCTGCTAGTTTAAATTAAATTTGGGAGAATTATATTTAAGGAGACCTGAGAAAAAATTATTCATAAACAAGAATTAATAACAAGTCTTATTTAAAAAAAAGTTTATATTTTCATTTTAACAACAATCAATTTCATATTGACCTTTACTTACAAATAACTTTCTTGTCAGGTTTTTAATGTGATTCTTCCATTAAATTTTACGAGGCTTGGCAGAATTGCAAAACTTAAAGACATTTATCATTTATATACCTATGCTTGAGATTCTTCTATTCAATTTGAATTTACAAGAAGGGGAGAAATCTGTTTTCGTCCTCTATTCTGAGGTGTTAATGTATGTGTATCTGATTGATTCTATTGGAAAATATTATATAAACAAGTTTATTTGGTTTTGATTATAAGAAATTTAGTGAAGATTTTGTATTTATCAGGTTTAAGTTAATGGCTTAAAACCTTTAAATTTTTTCTTATTTTGTCAAACTTCAAATTTGTTGAAGTTTGAGTGCCCTTGTCTCTAATTAACATTAAATACTTCGATATTTTGCCTCATATAATTCGAAGTTTATGCACCTTTATAATGCTGATCCTGAATATTTGGCAGTTTTGCTCTTTCTCTATGTTTCGAAGTTTCAGAGCTTCAATATTCTAACTCCTAATATTTTGAAGTTTTAGCCTTAACACTTCGAAGTTTTCATTCTCTGTTTTACCTATTAAAATAATTTAAAGTTTTAGTTCAAATTCTTCGAATGTTTTTCTTCTCTTTGGAACTCAAGCTTGTCCTCTCAACTTTCTCCAGTTAGTTCCAAGTTTCGAGTCAAATAATTTTAAATTTTCATCCAAATGCTTCGAAGTTTCTTCTAAGCAAAATTTATCACATTTTATAATTTGTGATCTTCTCTGATCAATCCTTTCTAATTAATCTGAATTTATTCAATTTATTCTCTATTGTTTCTAAACCCAATTACATTCAGCTTAGCAACTTTTAATCTTTGGATTAAGCTTTAAACAAATTTTACCTTTAAATCCAAAATCTGCTTTAGTTTAAACGTTTCGAAATTTTCTTCAAGATAATTCAAAGTTTTCTTTCAACGGTAATAATGTCAAAAACATTTAATATAAAATTATTTAAGACCTGTTTGGATAATCCTCAAAAATATATCCAAATAGTTGAATCCTCTAAATGTATGTTTGGCATATATAAATTAAAATTCAAACTGATACTCAGAAAACCTAGTAAACCTAGGTTTGTACTCCAAGAGCTTGTTGGAATCTGTTGACTATATTGATGTCGTCTTCTGATTTGGGATGAATCGTAGCGCAAAGGAAAGCCAAATGTTGCCAAGAACCCTCCACCATTTCCTCTGCTTCCTTTGTTCTTTGTTTTTTTTTTTTGGCCTGATATTTTTCCAAGGAGATAAAAAGATTGATTTTTTAGCCTCTTTTATGTGTTTATAGAAGTTACAAGGATATTTAAGCAACTAGAAGAAGCAACATATGTGGCAATAGTCAAAATGTCTTGTGCCATCAATGTGTGGAGTCTGTCCATTTAACCAAATGAACACTGCTTAGCTTTTTTGTGAATCCAATGCGACATTTTCCAATTTAAAAAAAAATGTTGGGTTGACTTGCATTTTTAAAAATGTTAGGATACCAATTGAGTCTTTTTGAAAACATTCCGGACAGTTTTATACTTTAATCCTATGAGCAATCTGCTCAATCCCATTATCATGCCTTTATTTATTTTGACATTTTTATTTTTAATAATTTTGTTAAACAGAAGCTTTATTCATATCTTCATAGAAACTAGACTCACATCCCATGCTTTGAACAGAGTTCACTTGAAACAATTGAGTGTATTAGTTGACATCAGAACATTTTAAATTTTAAAAGTTCATTCAAAATGTCATTTTTTTCTTCTTTTTTTGTTGTTATCAATTGCACGAATTTGACCTCAGTCAATTGAGCTAATTGGATGAATTGTCAAGAAAACAAATTTGTAAAAATTAATTAGTTCATTCATCTTTTTAGATTTTCTTACCAAAACGAAGTTGTTTTTAAAATAATTTTTGGAATATGGAAATAATATACTTGTTGATGAAATTAATGTTTCACAGAGTTAACCTGACAAATTGAATAATAAGTTGAAAATTCAAGATGTGCATTTTAAAAGTAACGTAAAAGTGACATTTCTTTTTTTTTTTCCCTTTAAAAAATAACAGAATTGACATGAGCCAATTGAGATGATTGGATTACACATAAACATTTTTAATATAGAAATTTAATTCACAATGTCATTTTATTATATCTGATGTGTTTGCAGAATATTTTCGGGAGATGGAAAAAATTTAATTGTAGTTTCACAATTACACGTAATCTCTTTCGTCAACAGCCATAATAAATCAAAAGATGAATCCCCTTGTGTCCCTGAACTAATATTTGTTTTAATATTTAGGGAAAATTAATCATGTCAAGTTTTTAAATGAATAAAAATAAAGGATTGAATTATAAGAGTAAAAGTTTAGAAAAGTTACAATCAAATCAAAACTTTAAAAATTTAATTATAATGAATCAAAGTTAAAGGATGAAATTATAACTAAGTTAAAACTATAAGGACTAAATGATTAATTTTTTCTAGTATTTAATAATTGTATAATATGTAATGAATAAATATTGAAGTTAGCTATTTCATAGTATTTTTAATAAATTTTTCCCTTTTAAAAAAATTAATATATGTAATGAGTATTTTCCTTCAGTAACCACATTGTTAAATATTTATTAATGAAAAAATGATAAAAAAAATTCTTTGATATAAATAATAATTTAGTCTATCAAAATGTCATAATTCAATTAAAGTACTTAAAAATTTTTTTATCATTAATAAATTTATATAAATAATTAAATTACTCTTATTAGAAATAAAAATCCTATATTGTTACAACCGTTGGAAATAATTAACAAGTAATGATGAAAAATTTTATTTAAATAATCATAACTTTTTTTTTATATTCACAACAATGTAACAGTAAATCACAACTTTGTATGTCAAATTCTTAATATTGTTATAAGGACAATTTGATCATTTATATCAATTTATTAATGATAGAAAAATTCATTGAAACTTCAATAAAAGTGTTAAAAATAATAAATAATGATTATAAGTTTTATTTAAATAATCACAACTTTATTTCTAATATTCACAACAATATAATAGCAAATTACAAATTTGCATGTCAAATTTTTAATATTACTACAAAGGCAATTTGATTATTTATATAATTATTATCAATAAAAATTTTTTAAAAAATTTAATTAAATTATGACATTTTTAATAATCAGATTATTATTTATATAATTTAGAGAAATGTTACTGTAATTTTCCCTTATTAATTGTTTATTAAATAATTATCTTTTGTATACGTCCAAATCGGAAAACGATTTGCTTTATTAAATTGTCTCCAATGAAATACCACGATACAGCGTTGAAAAAGAAGGAGGGGGGCGAACCCGCTAATTGTGCAGCCGAAACGCGTCGCTCAGTCAGTGTTGTGAGAAGAAGTCTTGCAGTGTAAGGAAAGACAAAGCTTCGGTTCTTAACCTCTCAAGTCTCAAACTTCGGAAGGTTCCTTCAATCTTTGGCGCGTAATTTCTGTTGCTATTCTTGATTGGAGATAGAAAAAGAAGTTGAGAAAAGGCTAAAACTTTTTGCTGCCAAATAGTTTCTTTTGCTTTTTTGGTTTTGGTCATTCATTT